GACGAATAAGGTGTGCGACCGCACGCGATTCCTGGAATCATCTAAATTCATACCTCCGTTTTTAGGTCCGTATATGATAAATTGAATTTTGATTGCATCTCGAACTTTTCTTCAAAATTTTTGAGTTCTTTTTTTAAAGTTTTTACTTGATCCCATTTTATATTTCATGGACATTTAATTTTATGAAGCCCAATTGCAGATATTACCACTTTATCTTTAAAAACTTTTTTTTGGTGTTGTTTTGTTCTTGTTATTATTTTTATTTTTGTTTCACCGATGCTTTTTTGTTTACACTCGCATTATATTAGGTATACCCTGGGAAAGCTATTTGATGGTAGTTTTGTTTTGTTGCGTGAAGTTAGTAAAGATTTAAGATTTGCACTAGATTTAAAGACTGCCCTGTAACTTTTTGAAAATAAAGCTATCGACATTGTGCTTCATTATAATCCATCTTTAGATATTTATCAAATTGTTTTTGAGGTATGTAGATGATAGCCACGCAAGATTTACAAATAGATAATGCCATTCGTTTTCAACAAATATTAAATAGTCAACATCATGCCGTCAAATAAACAATTGACTTGGAGGATGAGAATAAAAGATTAAATTTTATTAGATTAGACAACCAAAAAACCAAATATTAATAACTAATTATAAGTTTAACATACATAGAAAATAAGCAATAAAAAATATTCAGGTTAAGCCCAAATTAAACCACGATTCAAAAACTTTAGAAGGAATATTTTAAGGATTCATTCACGGAGCTTTATCAATTTGCTCTGAAAATTTTTTAAATAAAAACAACAATTTCCTAAAATAAGAAAAAATAAAGTTTTTTGAAAATGTATACGATAAGAAATAATTACAAGACCTTGAAAATATAGCTATAAAAAAAAGAAACTCAAATAATTAAATAGTATTATCAAACAACGAAGCAACCATGTCAACTATATCACTACCGTTGATCCCAATACTATCACCAAAACATCGAAAATCTTTAGAAAAGCAGGCAACAGGGCAATCTTTTAATCTAGTGCAAATCTTAAGTCTTTGATAACTTCGCGTAACAAAGCAAAACTACCATCAAATAGCTATCCTGGGGTATACCTGATATAATGTGAGTGTTAAGAATAGAACTCAAAAAAGTTGAAAGAAAAGTTCGAGAAGCAATCGAATTTCAATTTAACAAATACGAACCTAGGAACGAAGGTATGAATTTAGATGATGGTCAATATGTAATAACGCAACTCTCGACACCATTTTTTTTATACCTACGTATTATTAAAAAAGCCTAATTAAAACTAACTTTAAAGAAGCCATTAAAAAGTGACGTTACCGTATGTTTCTTATTGAATTTAGTTTATAATTTCTAATGAATGCTGAAGATGCTAGTATCTAGCAAAAATTTCTGAGAATAAAGAAAAAAATTAGTATATATATATATATATATATATATATATATATATATATATATATATATATATATATATATATATATATATATATATATATATATATATATATATATATTATATATATATATATATATATATATATATATATATATATATATAATATATATATATATATATATATATATATATATATATATATATATATATATATATTTATATATATATATATATGTATATATATATATATATATATATATATATATATATATATATATATATATATATATATATAAATATATATATATATATATATATATATATATATATATATATATATATATATATATATATATATATATATATATATATATATATATATATATATATATATATATATATATATATATATAAACATATATACATATATATATGCACACTGTGTTTTTAGAGTTCTTCCTAAAAATCCGTTGATTTAGGAATTATTGCTCCACCAAATAAAGTTAACTTTTTAAAAATCTTTATAGTTAGTATACAATAATACTTATAATGTAAAATTTGACTCATTGGATAGACTTGAACCTTGTTCTCCGGACTCACTGACCATAATTTCATCCACATCGCCACGCAAACTATTACGATATAGAGTTAAGATGTTATAAATAAGACTAATTCTCCCGGTTATGAATCTCAGAATTAATTCCCGACAGCGTGAAGACTAGTTTTTTTAATAACTAAACAAGTAAAATATTTTTATTAAGAAAAAATAAAACAATTTTAAAATACAAATTAAATAAGTCCACATTGCACATTTTCCAGGCCAACATCGTTAGTGTTGTAATGCCTAAATGGGGTTCGTGACCCTCTTAAGACGAGTCTTTAGCTAATTTATAACAGCTCCGTACCACTCACCCATTTTTAAGGACAGTTTTTGTGCGAGTAGTGCCGTGAAGCGTTTGCATTCGTCTCCAAACCCACCATTCGTACCAAAAATTAATGGGGTAAATGTCCCGTGTTTAACCTTTGGAACTCGTCCTAAATACTCACGTTTTTTTGCATCTTCATGCCTACGAAATATGTGTTTTGTTATTTGTTTTTTGAAGGAGTTCGAGTTTACGTGCGTTACTCTAACATCAAAAAATGCAGTTCCTCTTTATCTCCAAAACCCTTTTGCTTTTATATCCAATCTAGCTTCGTCGTTGGTATTGGCAGTTTTGAAATTAAATTTTTCGTTTGTCAATGCAATTAAATGTGGCTCCGCTTGAACATCAGTACAAACTTTATTTAGGCAAACAGTTAATAAATCTCTGTCGTCATCATGTCTGTTACAAACAAAGCCATCTTTTTTGCATGACATTGCGTGTAGCTTGTCAAATTTTTCTCCACAAGCACAGTAGGATGGTAAATTGGCAAGTGGCACAATATATCTCAATTTAAGTGCGTCCTTAAACTCTTCCTTATTCAGATCTAGATGTTGCTCTTTAATTGGTAAGGTGTTTAACCAGCTGCTGGCACCTTTGTCACAGGCTTGTTCAACCAGAAGTTTAAGGTTTTCTGGAAGTCCTGCATCTATTTTTTTAACCTCTTCTTTTTTTTTTTTTTTTTTTTTTGATTTATTCATATTTGTTTTTGTTTTTATTTCTGAAAATGTTTTCCCGAAATCATCTTTTTCTTTCACAACATCTGACTGATCGAGTATTGATTTTATGTGCAAGTTAGTTATTTTCTTTGAGGCAGTATGCTGTTCCTTGGCCTCAGTTATTAAGTTACAAATTCCAAGTCCTCCTTCCGATGGATTTAGCGCCAATAAATCCCTATTTTCTTTGATTGTAGAACAATCAGTTCCAAACAATACAGGTAATAATTTTTCTGATAAAATATTTTCCAATGGTGGTACGAAATTTTCAAAAGCTTAAATTGTGCGTAAGAAGTAAGTGAATTTAGATCTGTACCCTTTAATAAAAGCTGAATAAGCAGGTTGTGGTTGCGTGGTGGCAATTTTGCAGAGATTGTTAAGTTCTTTAGACCATTTACTTACTAAATCCTCGCAATACACTATTTTGTATGCTTCCGAACCAAGTGCAGCTCCTAAATGCCTTTTTCCCTGAGTAGTTATATTTATGGAGTTGCCAAATATAAGTTTAGCTTCTTCAGCTTGGTTATCAGATTTTACTCTTAGCCAGCATTTTTACTGATTTACATAATAACCAGACAAACCACCGACATCCTCTAGGCATTTATACCACTTTTTTAAAGACTGTAATTTTTCTGCAGCGGTAGCATCATCGGCTAATCATACTTGTTTTACATCAGGAATTACTAGTTTCAATGTATTTATGATTGTCACAGTGCTAAGTGAGTACCATTGCATGACGAGGGGATCGCCCTGCGTTATGCCTTCTTTCGAAAAATTAGTTTCTCCACCGTAGATGATAATTTTGCCGGTTTACGTTAAGTGTTGACTAAATACATAGCTAAGATTGGGCAAGTTATCTGTATATTATGTAGTGCAACAGAACGGTTTAGGCAGTTAAACGCGTTCCTAGCATCGATTAACAATACACCATCTGTATCTTTCTGATGAAATATCTTTTGCATAGCATGTATTGGAGCTTCTGCTCCTGCACCGTGTCCTGCGCAGCATAGGACTCGACGGTAAAGATCTGCACCCATTCCAGAAGGACCTGCAGATCCTTTAGTCTGTAAAGCTGAGTTAAATATACTTATCTCATCAATTGAATTGAATAAACATTCTGGAGTGTTTTGTAACGGGCCGTATAGTAAACAATTATCTTGTACAGGAGTTTCGTCTGGGTGTTTGCTTTTCAATTATTTTAATACACTTTCCGAGCATTGCAAGATGCCAGATGACTCTCTATTTAAATCCTTCAGTGCGGCAGCAACTTTACCTTCCATCATTAGTTTTGCGAATATGCTTGAGATATCCTCAAATGTCCTTTTTTTTTTGAGGTGTTAATTTTGCTCTGAATATATCTAATTTCCCGCATTAATTCACTAAAGTTCCCGTTTCTCCATAATGTAGTTCGTCTAACTAAACATTCTGCATGCTCTTTGGCTTTAGACCGTATTAAGGGTTTCTGTAGTATTAGGGAAGGGACTATCACGAAACATTTGATGGCTATTCCATTCAATTTGGTTCGATTATTAAACTGTTTTAGCCAAAAGGTCAGTTCCTCTATAAACATTTAACCACCTTTTCCTGATGGAACTTTAAAAAGGTTTTTATGGTAAAATACTATTTCATCGTATATTATGTTGACATGGTTGAGAAGGAAGCTAAACGGCATATGACCCCATAGTTAGTCGTTGGGATCTATAATAGATTCACAAATGTTTATTATGGGTAAGTAAGGTGTGTTGGTTGAATAGTGTTCTACATATATCTCATCGCAGTTTAATATCGTATTAATTTCCACCTTGTTTTTATTCGATGTTGCTAATTAATTGTTAACTACATTGTTTGTTTGTTTATTTGTATTGGAAACAAAAATCTTACATTGACCTTTATGAACATTTAGTCCCTTAAGGGTAGTAAAGCTGCGATCACATCTTTTGCATATAGAAATCATGTTCATTGAAGATTTTATTATTAGCTGTATATTTTTATTATTAGCCGTATACTTAAATACCTTAAAAAGAGATGCCGTCTATGTTTTGTTGTTTACCTTAACAAGAGATACTG